AGACTCAATGTGTTAGCAACCTGAAAGTTTTGCACTTCCCTGTTTCTGAAGCAATGCATAATTTTATGATTCTTGATAAAAATAAATTTGTAAAAATTTCCTTAATGTCAATAACTTTCACATGATTTTCAGGGAGGCTGAAATTGAGACCTGTACCATATTCCTTGCTAAGGTAGCAGTAGTTTCTCTTGGTCTGAAGAAGAATTCCCACTCTTCAGAGTCTGTCTGAAGTTCACTGAGTTAGACTACTTTTCATGGAAGTTGATCAGCCATGACTTCTCATTAGTTTACTTCCACTGAAACAATCCTCATGGTAACAGAGAATTTAAAAATGTTGCTTGCTAATCACCAAAGTCACAAGTTTCTGCCCACTAGAGCAGACCCCAGAAATAAATAAAGTGACAGCAAGAAGCTTCCTTTTCTTCCTGAAGTGGGATAATTTTCTGTAAAGACTTGTTGACCCATGCTTTTACTCAGGGAACTGTAATATTGGAGACTGGTTTGTTCTTCAAAATATTTCAGTAGGGTTTCAGAATTGAATAGATTTTTACAGCTGTTGTAGATGTCAGGAGCACTGGTGGTAGGGATGGGAACAGCTAGATGATTACAAAAGCATATGGAGGATTTTAATTTGTTTTTCTATAGAATGTTTTCTTTAGCAAATGAAGATTATCAACAATTAGATGCACCTCAGATGACTAATTTGCTGAAATCCTAATGGAAATATAGAGGCTACAGCCCACCCAGGGCTGCTAGTAGCTGCCTTGAAGACAATAAGCAAGTTGAGGAACTAAAAGCTGCAGGAGCTTAGGAAAAAAACATAGGCTCCCAGCCAGCACACCCAGTAGGCTGGTATCACTGCTTTCAGGCTTTCTGGGGAGAACCAAAGTGTTTTGCAACTTTAGAGACCTATTTTAAAACAGAACAGTATTTTATTGTGCTTAATTCCACAATTAAGAAAGCTATGTGCCAGAAAAATGTGCTGCTTCTCAGATTTAAAGACTGCACAGAGGGAAAGATATCAGCTCATACTATCAAAACCAAAACGATACTGTTATTTTAAATAATTTCCTGGTACAATGCTGGCAAAACCCCTACCTCACATTGTTCAGTCCCCATATAAAACCAACTCTCTTTATCTCCAAGGAATTACTGATTCTATGCTCAGCAAACTTTTTGCAATGGGTTCAGTTTCACTGTCATTCCATCTGCCTCTGGAAGTCAAGATGATAGGAAACAAGGTATCTGCTTCTGTGTATTCAGAGACTTCACAGTGAAAAAATGTTCACATTATGAATCTCTAGGGTCCTAAAATATTCAACCAGTTATGATTCCAGAAGATTTCTGACTTGAGTCAAAACCACTTGAATGTTCTCTTCCCACTGAAGCCGTGTGAAAGAAGAGGTATTAATAGAGTGAAGTTATTATTGTGTTAACCAAAGAAGTGGCCTGATTTGCCAAAATAAACCCCATTGTGTGTATACCACTACAAATCATGAGGCTGTTAAAGTCTACTTACTTTCCCATATGAACCACTGCCACTAAACATGCAAAGAAAAAAAAAATGCTTTAAATAACAAGCAGTTCTCTAAATATTCCTTAAACTTTGATAAGTTTCATGGATGAAAGTGAAGTACTTGACACATTTCAGCATCAGTAAAAATGGTAACAGTTCCTTTTCAGAAGATAGAATTCATTGTGGAAATGACCTGGCAAAGAAATTTGTTTTACACCATATTCTCCTAGTTCAGAACACACAAAGATTTGGACTTCAAGACAGTCATATATTAATGAAACAAAACACTGTATCTCCCTCATCTGATAGATTTGATGCGGTTTATACTGTTTAGATAAACTGAAGGCATGGAGAAAGGCAAGCTGATTGAAACTCCACTATGCCCACAGCTGAGATTTGTAGTCTTTCAGAAACAGCAAAGCCTCTGACACTTCTGTAGCTTCATCTTCTCTGTATTGTCAGATCAGGGAGTTGTAGGGAGCAGTAAGATCCTCTGAAGTTGTTTCCTCTCCAGGTTGAACAGCTCTCAGTCTCTCTTCATACATTATGTACTCCTGACTCTGACTCTTGGTGGCCCTCAACTAGGTTCACTCCTGTATGTGAATACTCTTGTGCTAAGAGCACAAAACTTGGACATAGTAGTCCAGATGTGGTCTTGCAAGTGCTAAATAGAAGGGAAAGATCACTTCCCTGTACCTGCTGTCACAACACCCTTACTAATGTTGTTCAGGGTATGTTGTCCACTGCGACCCCAGAGCTTTCCTGCAGAGCTGCTTTCCAGACACTAAGCCCCAAGAGTGCCTTGTGACTGGAATTACCACAACCCAGGGGCAAGAGCTTTCATTTGTTCTTGCTGAACTTCATAAGGTTTCTGTCAGCCCACTTCTTCAACCTGTTCAAGTCCCTCTGACAGCAGCCCTCCCTTCCCAGTTCGGGTCACCCCAATCTGGTGTAACTTGCAAACTTGCTGAGAGTACTCTCCATCTCATCATCCAGGTTGTCAATGAAGACATGGAATAGTACTGGTCCCAGCACCAACCCCTCAGGAGTCCACATCTACTGGCTGCAAGTTTGTGTTTTTTTCAGCCCAATCTATTTTCTGTCTGCTTTATAGTGCCTTTATCCATCCTGTGTTCTACTAATTTTGGGGCTATGGAAGAGGCTAAGGGCTTCTTTGTCCTTTGAGGATCCACAGTATCCTGCCAAGCACCTCCCTGAACAAACACCTCCCCTCATCATATTATTGATCAAGTTTATCAAGAAATTGTCTTAAATCTGTTCCAGAAATCTGGATTGCTTGTGTTCAGCCTTATTGGCCTGCCAGCAGTTACTGTTGTGGTTAAAGTCACTCAAGAATACCAATGACTGGGATTGAGGCTTTTTCCACTTGCCCTAAGAAGACTTGTTCATCTCAGAGGTCTTTTCCAACCTGGTTGATTCTATGATTCTATGATATGCCTTGTCTAGTTGATGAGAAAGTCTAGAGCAGGCATCTAGTACAATATCACCTGTCTTGGTCTGAAATTTGATCACTGCCCAAAAGCTCTCCACTGGTCCACCACTTCACCCAAGGCCCTGTCCACTCAAAACACACCTTTGTACAGAGCACAGCTTACTTAAAGGAGGGCGTCTCATACTGGTACCCTGTTAGCACACTAAGGAACATGTGACTTGTATATACAGCTAGGTTCAAGGTTAAGGAGTTGCATCGTGTTTGTTACAGAAGAAAGGGATAAGTCAGCCAGACATGCTGAACTTCCTTAGGTTTCCCCCTTCTTTGGTGAAAGAAGCCTGAAGTTATGATTCACTGTCAGTCTGAAATTTTCAAATATACCTGAACCACAGTAATTCTAGGGAAGGAATAAGATCTTTTCATTAAAAGGCAAGGGGAATGCCTGTGTAGGTGAATGGAAAAGTTTCCATAGAACTGATTTCAGTGTTGTTGGAATATATTATATATGTTTTTATTCAATTGTTAATCATATTATAGAGTAATTATTAATTCCACACAATAGAAATCAAAATCTTTAATGTGGACACTTATGATCTGTTAAACTCATTGTAGAGAAACACAGATTTTATATGTATGTGTTTTTAAACTTAATTAAAGAAAAACAACTGTCAATCCATCTTTCATGATGGGATGTATATATCAACATTTGTAATAATTGATCCAAAATCCACATGATTAATGACCTTACACACTTTTAACTCCCTCTACATTTCTCAAACTTTGTTTCACTTAATTTATTATTTAGACCGTACATGATGAAATATTTATATGATAGTATTATTATAGAATCACAGAATATGCACAGTTGGAACGGACCCACAAGAATCACTGAAGTCCAGCTCCTGGCCCTGCACAGGACCATCCCCAAGAATCACACCATGTGCCTGAGAGGGTTGTCCAAACTCTTCTTGAACTCTGTCAGGCTTGATGCTGTGACCACTTCCCTGGGGAGCCTGTTCCAGTGTCCAACCACCCTCTGGGTGAAGAACCTTTTCTTGATATCCCTGACACAGCTTCATGCTCTGCCCTCAGGTCCTGTCACTGGTTGCCAGACAGAAGAGATTAGTGCCTGTCCCTTCACTTCCCTTCATGAGGATTTTGAATGCTGCAATGAGGTCTTCCCTCAGTCTCCTCCTCTCCAGACTGAACAAGCCAAGTGACCTCAGTCACTCCTTACGTGGTTTCCCTTCTAAGGCCCCTCATCCTATATTGAATTTTACAAATATATATTTTTAAGAAATATATAGTATTATGGATATAACTTTTAAAATGCCTTTCTAATATGCCCCTAAGAAAAAAAAGTTTACCATAAAAATTTCCCATTATTTTTAAGAACTTTTTTCCCCATTAAAATATACCCTAGGACACAGACGTGTGCAATTTTATTTTCAAACAAGAAAATAGTGTACTTTAATCCTGCAATGTTCAGTGTCTTGCAAGTAACTACCTGCCATTATGTAGTACCATGAAGTCCAAGTCTTGTTCTCAACTCATTCATTATGCTATGTAGCCATTCAAACCACAGACCGCTTGACACCCTGCTTTACAATATCCTGAGGTTTGAGCTGGTATTTACCTATTTGCAATGGCATGATAATTATTAGTTTAGTAAGTGCCTATAGCAAAACTTCTTAAAAAAAGAATGTTTCACATCTTGACTTAATAACATCTTATTTTTCACTCAGTTTTACAAGTTTAACTGAAAATCTCCAGTCTTTAGGCCATCTGCATGCAGTCAAAGATAAATAATGGAAGAAAGAGCTCTGTAACACCCAAACACCTCTCAATGTACAATAAAAAAGCCCCTATCAAACCCTAAAACACCTAGATCCCAAACTGTAAAGTTTTAGTTTACCACAAATTCTTTTAAGCTAAGGATTTCTATCTGGCATTGTAAGTTACTTCACCCGAGCCAGACTTTGACACGTAACTTGATTTCTTCAAGCTAGAGATGCAGTACCAATTGCTTACCTGACTCACACGCAAATGTCTTTGATGTCTCATCATGAAAGATAATTGCCACTGCATGCTTCTTTGTCTCTCGAGGCAATCTGGTTATGTTTTTGATATTGTGCAGCTCAGTTACCTTGAAATGAAGAAAAGTATTTTAGACCAGTGTATAAATAGTCCAAATAAAAATATTAACCTTAACTGCTCCATTTTTACTATAAACAGTTTTTCCCCCCGTCTTGGTTTCTGCCAGGTGAGAGTTAATTTTTTACAGAAGCTGGGAGAGGGTCCTGGTTAAGGTCTGGATATTATTCCATACTATATTGCTAGGGGTGGGAGTAAGGGACTCTTGCTTCCCAGGAGAAGGGTGTTCCTTCCAGTGGAGAGAAAGTCCGTTGGGGAAGAGCTGGTCCATATTTGTCGTGGGCTTTCCATGTAAATTGTTTCTTAGCCTTACACATTTGGTTATTAATATTGTTGCTCTTACTATTAGTTTTCTTATCCCATCATTGTTTCCAGTCAGTTGTTCTTATCTCAACCCGTGATTTGCATCTTTTGTGCCTCCAAATCTCCAAATCTCAACTCCATCCTTCCAGACCATGGAAGGGGAATGGAAGAGGGGAGTGAGTGAACGGCACTGGTTTTAAGCCTTGGTGGGAGAACTAAATTGGGGAATAACATTCCTAAACCTCAACATGCCCTAAGCTTCTTTATATTTATAAGCTTTTTAATTGATAAAAACACATAAATAGGTAGAATCTAGAGTTGCAACATTTTCCATAAAATACAATGTATTAAAAAGGGAATGGCCTATTTCTCTAATAAAGTCCTACTTGGAATCATAGTTTACAATGACATCAAGTCAGCCTTATGATTTTCTGCAATCTATTTTTCAATTTCTATATTCACACAACTTGGATCAGTTTCAGAAATGACATCAAATAGAAAACCTAATGTAGGAAGGACAGTGTTTTATTAGTTAAGTGCGGCAACTCAATTAATTTGTCAAATAGTATCACTACATTTGTAAGAATAGATCCTCATCTGTCTTTAAAGTGTATCAGTCATCCTCAAAAGAACTCAAAGTTTTATTTTATTTTCTAAATATCTGAAAAGCTTATCTACAAAAAAATACCCTTCCAGCAAATTTACAGCATAAAAAATTCAATCTATTTCCATTTTCTTTTGATGCAAGTAGATAACTACAATTAATACAAACAGAAGAAAAATGTTATTAAAACCAGAGCTGGTGGCACAGCTGATATTAATCTGCTTAACACCTCATATTATAAAATCTTTTTCTCAGTTTCTTGGAACTCTGGGCAAAATTTATCTGTTTATATTTCGTTTATTCAGGCAGGACATTTGCCTCAGGTAGAATTAATTTCTAAAAAAATGTCATCCATATGAGTCTGGCCATATATGATTAGGGAAAAAATGGACTGCATGTAGGTGTGGGTTTTTTGCTTTGCTTTGAAATTCTTATGCTCCCAGTATACAGGTCTACCATTCCTTCTCATAGGCTGGAAGGAATGTTTTTAAGGCAACAGAAATTTTATATGGTGCAGTAAAGAAATGGAACATGTTGGGGCAAAGATATTTCAAATAATATTTATAACAGATGAGCAGTGAGAGGCATCAACAGCCAGCAAAAGAAACTGAGACAAGCATGAAATGGAAAGCGTATGTGCTGACGATGAACTTGAGATTAGAACTGAAGACTGCTCTAGGGTCTACCTTGACAGCCTTCAGCAAAACTTACCCCAGTTTGTCAATATCTTTATTGTAACAAGTGGGTCAGAACCAGATGAGGTTCTGTAAATATTGTCTAATGTGTGCCGAACTGAGCAGGATAATCATTCCCTTTACTGACTGCCCATGGTTCTGTTCATACTGCCCATGGAGCTTTACTAGCTGAGGCAACAAGATCCACGGCCCTACCCACAGGCCTGTTCCCAGCCTGCCCATCCCAAGCCTGTGCCATCGCAGGGGATCCATTTTGATTTTCCTTTGCCTCTGGAGTCATATTGCCTTCCTAGACAGCAAAAAACTTCTTATAACTCCAATGTGACAGGCAAAGTTATACGAATTGCCTCTTCCAAACTCTCTAACTTTTACTTTCTTTCTTTAAGTCAAGGTTCTTTGAGCCATTCGTACTTTCACACAGCAGTCATATTCCTCTTGCATATAACTATCCACAAAAATGGACCTCTTTGAAACTACCAGGATAGAGATACTGTGAGATATCCATTTTCTTGTCAAATGGCTTTAATGATTTAACATGGGTGAACAAAATATTTCTGCCAGTTGAAAAAATTATTTAAAAATTTTATCTTTCCCATTGAAATGCTTTGTTTTACAAAAACTAAAAGAAATAATTTCATTTTAATTGCTGTTAAAACTTTCTGAGGATATAGGGAATTTACACACATTTTAGGAAAAATAACTAATTTCACTGGGCAAGCTAACAGAGGAAAAAAGAAGACAAAAAAAGTAACTGAGCTTTAGCATTCAGCCCCATCATATCTGAGAAAGTGCACATTTCACAGATTCACAGAATGGCTGAGGTTGAAAGGAAACTCTGTAGGTCATCTGGTCCAGCCACCCTGCTCATGCAGGACCACCTAGAACTAATTGCTTGGGACCACATCCAGATGACTTTTTTAGTATCTCCAAGGTGAGTCAGACACAGCAACCTTTCTAGGCAATCTGTACAGTGCTTGTTCAGTGTTTCCTGATATTCAGAGGAAACCTCCTGCATTTCAGTTTATGCTCACTGCCTCTGGTCCTGTCACTGGGCATCAATGAAAAGATCCTGGCTTTGTTTTCCCTAAATCCTTCATGTGTAGAGAATATTCTCATTAATAAGTACATCATGAATGAGCCTTCTCACATTCAGGCTAAACAGTCTCAGCTTTCTCAGCCTTTCCTAATAGATGAGAACCTTCAGTTCAGTCCCCTCATCCTTTCTTTGACCCTTTGTTGTACTCTCTCCAGTATGGCCATGCTTCTTTGATACTAGGAGACCAAAACTGGACCCAGTACTCCAGGTGTGGCCACACCAGAGCAGAGTAGTGGGTCAGGATCACCTCCCTCAACCTTCTGTCAGCACTTCTCCTAAAGCAGCCCAGGATACTGTTATCTTCCTTTGCAGAAAGAGCATGTTGCTGGCTTGTGTACACTATACACAAGCTGAAGGAGCAGTTTTATGTTTATCTGTTGGGCAAATCAACGGGTTGACAGAAAGAGACCCCAGCAGTTAACATTTCAGGAACACAAGTTGACAACAAGAGGGGCCATACTATCAAATAAGCCCCTCAGTATTTCTATTGTTTATGTAATTTTTAATATCAAATAGAGATGAATATTTGCTTCCATATTAATCTTTTAAAATTTACTGTATGCTTCCCTCCACAATCAGAGCAGAAAGATAGAGTCAAGACTGTGAAAGTCTATCCTCCCATTGCTAGAGAGAATTAAGTTAATCAAATTCTGAATTCTGGGTTTAATGCCAGTGAAGCATGAGTCATTTCTCTACTTGCTGAACACTTGCAATTAAAATATAAACACCTGAGAGTTTAGATTATTTTATATGAAGGAAAAAATGAACTTTGCCTTGGCAACCAGACTGCTTTATCTCAGGGATTTTTAAAGCTCTGTCTTAAATTTTATCTATATTTTTTAAAAACATATAAAGCAATAAACCCTTTTAAATGGAGAAAAATATCAAAGCTACCAAAAAGACAAAAAAAACCCCATAAAAAATCAGAACTGTTTTGAAATAATTTAAAACATCTCTTTGCAGACTTTAAGAGGGTTTTAAAATACCAATAAAGTTGAAAAATTATATAAAAAAGTCCTCCTTTTTTATGAATGGTACATTAGGTAATTCTATTTTTTTTTAAGGAAGGAATATTATACCAAAATCTGCTCCCTCTGGTATTACAATGGCTGTTCTTCACAACAACAAAACAGCATTTTGAAACTACTTAGACCATTGTCTCAGTAGGAAAAAAAAAAAAAGTAAAATTTACTGTGCCATTACACATGTAAGAGTCTTATCTAGACTTTACATAAAAAAAGATGGGCATTTTCCCATTGCATGATTACACTTTGCCTAAAGCTTTGGTAAAGTTAAAATCAACCAAAACAAACAATAAACTTTGAAAATCAGTTTTCTTATTTTCCCCATTTGTAACTCTCTAGAACGAAATTAACTTCAACAATAAATAAAATCCCTATTATTACCTGCTCAGTGAGCAATCTTGCAAATTGTTTTCTTGACTACCATTATCCTTTGACTTTTTCCAGTAGCTAAATATATCCTTTGTAGACATTAGTTTGTTAACTTAGATGTTCTTTACTAGACAGTGGTGCTACCATTCAGTGCTGTTCTCCATATGTTGCTCAGTGTGGTATGTAATAAGGACTCTTAGCACCTGGACCATTTCTCAGTTCTCCTACTCCTCATCAGTAATTCCTGCTTCATATGTTCATCACTCAACAGCCCACGCATACATTTCCTTGCTGGTTCTTTTTTTCTATTCGGTCTGTTGATCTGTTTTTGTATCAGTCTCTGAAACCACTTCACTTTTCCTCTAGGAAGACCACTTAACACAGGTTGATGAAAAGATGTAGAATTGGTACTTAACTTACATGTTAACAAACTTTCCTTTGCTGAGCTTTTTCTTTTTTTTTTTTTTTTTTTAATTAATTTTCATATCTAACAGGTTTTTTTCTTTCTTGGAGGTTTGACATAACTATAGCAGAGACAACCTTGTCCTTTAATTCTCATTAATATTTGATAAACGGACATCTAAGCCTACATAAGCCTGAAGGGATACTAGGTAGGATAATTTCTAGGACTGGCAGCATCTCACTCCTGCAAAATTAAACTAGGTATGGCTTGCATCAGGGTCTCAGGGTTACACATCAATGTTAGTAACTGCAACTTGGTTTCTCTCACAGTCAGGAATTTGGATCACCTCAAATATTCCTGAAAAGCACAGTTGAAAATAAATGCACTTGATCTGGACACAATTTTTTTTTTCAATGAACCTCAGATTGTTCACCAAAATGTAAAACCTCTTCACAGATGCACATCAAGCACTGAGCAAGAAAGTAAAAGACCCTATC